ATTTAATTCAGCATAAGTTGCATAGTTTTAACTAACTAAATTAATTTGGGGGATCAACTTCTAACTATTCCCAAACTCTCCTTAGGAACAGACTTAAATCTTAGTTTTAACCCACAACCAATTATGTTTTGAATGTAAATAATGTTCTGTAGAAGTTTATAAAAAATTAGATGAAATTTTGTTGAGCCTATCATAGATATTAATCTCAGGTTGATTTTTCTCTACTGAAGATGACATTATTTGCATTATTTTGAAATAAGAAACATTAAAGAAAAGTAGTTCTAATGCTAAATAATCTTAAAAATTAGTTACCTTACAGTTTAATCCCAGTTTATAATGGTGTACTTACATACAAGTGCATATTCCCCAAATACAGCACTTAGTAAGTCTCTCACTGATATCTGATCTGTTCCACAATGAATGGGAACAATGTATCACCATCTGGATAACTAACACAATCAAGAAAAGAAGAATTGTCTCTGGTATCATCCATTTATTTTATAATTTTGTAAATTTTCTAAAGCTTTAATGCAGTTATTTATAATTATCTTTGTATAGTAATATGTGTTATAGTCAATACCCCCAAAAAAACACAAAAAATTAGAAACATTTGCTGTTGAAAGTTTCTGATAATTTGAATGAAGTGAATTTTTGAGACTTCCACTTTTTTTTTAATTTGAAAGATTAGTATCATAAAGCCAGCAAAGCAGTAATGCATTAAAGAATTATTAGGGGTCTAATAAAATTATTTGGACTGCCAACTGTTGTAACACTGATTAATGATTGCTTTTTAATTACTTGGAAGTTGTTCAATCATTGTACCATTTCATTTCATCTGAGAGTTTTTACAGAAGGGTCAGAGCCAAAGCATATGCTAGTATAATCTGCAATAAGGTACATTTACACAATTTTTTTCCACTTGGCAGGGCAAATGTGGGCTATTTATTTCATAGTCATTCACCATGACAATAATTTCCTGCTCAGGCTGGCTAGTTTGAGCAGAGCAAGCAACCTTATATATTAAAATTTAAATAAAGTTGGCTTTCAAACTCTGTGAGCTCAAATAAAATCCACAATAGCCTATTCTTATTGCAGAATCATTAATTACCACGTGGTATGTACTTAGCCTCTTTCTTTTCCATGGAGGTGTAAGGTGCATAGTGTTTGTCTCACCAGACTTCTTTGAAGATGATAATTCCTCTCAGTAGTCTTTGAATAGACAGTGGAGTGGATCAAGGTAGATAATTTAGAAATATTAGCCAGCCGCCCTCTTACAAGGTGTGCATATGTATGGGTTGTGAGTCTAAAGTCCCAGTTCTGCATATGTCCAAGTGAGCGCCAACATAACTGATGAGACTCCATACAGTGGGGTTTCCTAAGTTGCATTTAGGTAAAAACTACAGAGGATGTGACTACAGCCATTAAATTAAAAGATACTTGCTCCTTGGAAGAAAAGCTATGACCAACCTAGACAGCATATTAAAAAGCAGAGACATTATTTTGTCAACAAAGGTCCATCTAGTCAAAGCTGTTTTTCCAGTAGTCATGTATGGATGTGAGAGTTGGATCATAAAGAAAGCTGGGCACTGAAGAATTGATGCTTTTGAACTGTGGTGTTGGAGAAGACTCTTGAGATTCCCCTGGACTGCAAGGAGATCAAACCAGTCAATCCTAAAGGAGATCAGCCCTGAATATTCACTGGAAGAACTGATGCTGAAGCTGAAACTCCAAAACTTTGGCCACCTGATGTGAAGAACTGACTCCCTAGAAAAGACCTTGATGCTGGGAAAGATTGAAGTCAGGAGGAGAAGGTAACGGCAGAGAATGAGATGGTTGGATGGTATCACCAACTCAATGGACATGAGTGTAAGCAAGCTCTGGGACTTGGCGATGGACAGGAAAGCCTGGCGTGCTGCTGCCTATGGGGTTACAAAGAGTTGGACATGACTGAGCGACTGAACTGAACTGACCTGACATAGGATGTAGAGATTGGAGTGGAGTCAGTGTGTGCCCTAATTATACTGATAATTAACAAAATATGGCCTGAAGATAGAACAATATTATTAATCAACTATGCTCCAACATAAAATTTTAAAAAAATTAAAAATTCATATAGTTTGAAAAATGACAAACTTAGGAACAATGACACTTGTTTGCATTGTAAAGTGCATACTCCCCTTACATTCTACAAATGGTTGCAGCCCAGGTTCTGACCCAAGTGTCAAACCTGCTACTACAGGCGCCCACACACCACGATGATGGTTTTCGGTGGATTTTGTACTCCATGGGGAGAAGAACTTTTGGAGCTACAGTACAGGTGAGTGAAGAACTAGAGGCAGGCTTTCATCTTTAGTTAAGGTACTGGGTCTAATATCTTCCTTAAAAAAAAAAATGCACATTTTTCATGTGTATTAACAGAAAGGTTAGGTGACACAGGATAGCTTTAATGAAAACTCTTTTGCTAGACAATATGTCTTAGATAATAGAAATCATTTGAATAGGCTACTTCTGGTCAGTTATCACCTAATACATCCAAATCATTAGAGTGAGTATAATGTAGTTCATAGAGGTCTTCTACCCCATAACTTAGATATCTCATTTTCACTCTACTTGTCACAGAAAACTACAGTTTATTTTCTAAATATAGTATGGTTAAACTGCCCCCAGTATTATGGATAAAGGAAATAATTCAGAGTTGAAATAATTGAAAGTGTGAAAAAGATGATGAATAACATATGTAACCATAGTAGGAGGTGATATGGGAAAGAAGAAAGATATCTAGCAGGAAAGGAAACTTTAAATCAGAAAAGCATTTAAAGAGAACAGGCAAAGCTAACATTCCATTCTGTTCTCCAAACAGCATGTCTGTTCAGGCAGCGGATTGGACAATCCACTCTGAGAGGGTAGCTGAGCAAGGAAGGCAGATTTGAAAGGAGACAGCAGGACAGAGAAAGCATACAGCAGAGGAGTAGCCTTCAGATTACATGTTTAGCATGGCAGGGATGCGCGAATTTCCTCAGGATCGAGTGAACACAATAGAAAGCTGGAATTGAGATACCATGCTATGAACTCTCCCAAGAAAACCATCTGCAGCACAAGGGGACCTGGACCTGAACTTAAGAAGCTATGGGGTCTACCACTGGGTGCTCATAGCAAATTCATGGGCAGATGGGATGCTCAGGACCCAACAGCAAATAACACAAAAATTACATGAAGAGAGTTAGTATTTGGACAGTCCACTTAGCCAGTCCATTTTAACCCTAGAAGCAGTGGCAAAAAGGAGAGTGCTCTCTCATCAACCAGGGGTATATGAGAGAGATTTATGTGAAATAATAACATTTGCAGCAACATGGATTGTTCTCGAGATTATTAAGCTAAATGAAGTAAAGCCAAAGATAAATATATTATATCACTTTTATGTGGAATCTAAAAAAAAATAAAAGTGACTCACAGACTTAGAAAACAAACTTACAGTTAGCAAAGGGGAAAATCAGAGAAGGGATACGCTAGGAGTTTGGTATTAACATATACACACTAGAATATATAAAATGGTCTTCCCCAGTGACTCAGTCATAAAGAACCAGGCTGCCAATAGAGGAGACACAGGTTCGATCTCCTGGAGAAGAAAATGGCAGCCCACTCCAGCATTCTTGCCTGGGAAATCCTGTGGACAAAGGAGCTTGGCAGGCCACAGTACATGGAGTTTCAAAGAGTCGGACACAAGTGTGACCAACTCTTTCCTATGTATACGCACTGAATCGAGACTGATCAAAAACCTCTCAATAGAAATGTTCAGTTAGCGCTTCCCTGCATTGAAATTGACATTAGCTGCCAGAACATTGTACCAGATGCACAAAAGGAAATAGGAGGAAAGCAATATACAAGGTACTTAGAAGGAATTTCCTCAAATCTTTCAATAGACCTTATACAGAAGAACTGCTCTGATGCATTTCCATTATAGACAACTATGTTGATAGCCAGTGTCTCCACTCCTATCCTGATCTGTTACCTTAGGAAGCTTGTCACCTTGATAATATCCTCCACTGTCCAGCCAAATCCACATGACCTACCATCACCGTCTAGAGGATTCTGGACCATGCAGAAGCCAACACAAGGAGTAATGCCTAACAAGCCTATAGATTCCAAATGATTCCTTGAAGAATTGCACTTAAAACTCCTGTATAAACATCCCACCCTGACAAGTGTTCAGGGCTGGTGCACTGGGAAGACCCAGAGGGATCAGGTGGAGAGGGAGGTGGGAGGGGAGATCGGGATGGGGAATACATGTAAATCCATGGCTGATTCATGTCAATGTATGGCAAAAACCACTACAATATTGTAAAGTAATTAGCCTCTAACTAATAAAAATAAATGGAAAAAAAAAACAACTCCTGTATATTCCACAATGGTATTCATATACTAACAAAAGAAGAGAGAAAGAAGAAGGGTGACTTTAGAAATGCTCTCTCTAGGATTTCCCTTGGTGGGCCAGTGGTTAAGACTCTGTGCATCCAGGGGGCACAGTTTCAACCCCTAGAATGGAGATCCCACACGCTACATGACACAGTAAAAATAAATAAATAAATACACAAAATCATGCTCTCTTTAACTTCAAAAACTGTTTCAGAACAGACGATTTTATGTGATGATGATTCCCTCCTGCCTGGCCTATGAAACTCTGCATAATATATACAGGGGTGCAATGTGGAAAGACATTGGAACTATGGTGGATTTTTAAGGTTACAGGGTAGAAAGAAGTGAGCTCACACCATGAAAAGCACCGCGAGGTATTCCTGCCGTCCTGCAAAAAAGGTGCAGTGGCAGCTGTCACAATTTTTCTGGACTTGGACAATGAGGGAAAGGAGCAGGTTTCTGAGTTTCCCCAGGAGACCACTCAGCTGTCAGTCCAAAACTGAAAAACAGCTCAGCGGGGACTCGTTTAAGAGTATGAAATTCAAAGAACTGCAGTATAACATTGATTCCGTCCATGCCATACTTACTAACTTTACTCGCAATTATGGAGAAATTATACTGCGCAGTGCTTTCTCTGTCTAGTAATTCATTAGTGGCGATGGTTCCTTCAGTCGCATCTATTGTAAAGTAGCTGTCCCCATCACTCTTCCAATCTATGAGGTACCTGTGTACAAAAAGAGGAGATGCAAATGTGCAATGATTACACATTCATCATTATGGCAGTCAGGCTAACCTGACACAGTTCCTTATTTTTCTCCCTGTAGCTATTACCCACCTTGCAATAAAGAAGAGTGTAAGTGACAGCTTCTTTATTGCAAAGTCAGTATGCTCAAGGGGAAACTGGGAATAATGAAAGATTTAGTACTCCTGCTGTTCATATTATTTTAGGGTCTTGACACCTTGAAAGCTCAGCAGAGACTAAAATTCTAAAGCTGACCATGGGTTTCCTTAACCTGCTGAATATTAAAACTTTTTCAAGCAGTAAAAGATTCCTTAATGGTGGCTGTTGGAAGAGCTGGGGGTGGGGTAGGCATCTGGAAACAGCAACAAAGAACTTAGGTCAGAAAAGAGGTAGCATCTTTGTTCCCATGGACAGAAAAAAAATCATGTTAAGCAAACTAGGTAAATTCTTAAACTGACAGGTGCTATAATTGCACAGAAATATTTTCCTCAAACACACAAAAAATGACTATGATTGTTTTATTACTCTTAAGTGTCAGAACAAGTTCCTTAAAAAAAGTGACCTTGGCTATACTCTCTCTTTATGTTCTTTATTAGCCAAACTCCTTGATAGTAAGTGATCTGCTTTCTTTATGTTAAACAGTTGGAATAAGAAATCCAAGAATATGTATTTAAAAAAATATGCATTTGTATAAGTCTTTATGTAGCAGTGAACATATACAGTGATATTTATAAAGTCATTTTAAAGGTATATTTTCTATCATCATATTAACAGACATTTTGAAATCTTTCCATGTGCCAGGTATTGTTCTAAATATTTACATATGTTAATAAATTCTCACAACAACCCTAAATAATGATATTATTAATCACCTTATTCCACAGGTGAGGAAATTCCTGAAGTTCACAAAGTTAGAAAGTTTTAGAGCTGATATTTGAACCAGGTCATTATGTTTCCCACATAATTATCATTGTGTAGACTTACCAATTTTAAATGGACCATTTTAAGTGAAAAGGCTCTGCTAATCAAAAGGCTAAATGCACAATATATTTAGCACCACTTTTGTGATTAGAGAATCAAGATGAGGTCCTTAAAAACAGTGGTTGAAGACAGATGACATCATTGTAGTCAGCCCAGCTAAATCCCCGGTCATCATGAAATGTTAATTAAAGCTTGTGTTTCAAAATAGCAAGTTTTAATCTTGACAAACAGGTTATTTAAAATTGGGACAGTGTGCATAACATTTTAGAACTAGATCAAAACTAGTTTGTCTCTATAGATTTATTGTTTGATTTATAACTTGTCAGTATTCATTAGTAACTGATAGGATCAGAGTAAGAAACAAGCTTTTTATCTGCCTTTGATATTTCCATTGTTGATTTTTGAAATGCATTGATGCTTTATGAGTTCCGTGTAGCATCCTGTCTCATAGAAATGATCTCAAAAATAATAAATGAACTTAAAAACCAGAGAGTACAGCATATAATGAGCTTCATTCTCTCTATTGCAAGATGCCCTTTTTGGAACGAAAAAGCATCTTCTCACAGTACCCATTTTCAGCACCTTTATTCAACTTGGTAACATGCCTAATTTGAGGGAGATTGTTACTGAACTCCCTTGGTGACTATAGCATTTCTGAAGAATTGCTGGTGTAGACTAACAGTGGCTGGGGTTTAATGGTAGAATTCACTAAATATTTGCTGAGTGCCCACTATGCTGCAGACATTGTAGTAGGGTTGAAGCACAAAGGAAATTATAAAGCATAATGCTCACTAATAATGAGTCTAGTTGGAGGAATGTATATAAAGAGGATTATTATGTTTGATAGAAGGACAGAAAAGACAATACAGGAGTAAAAAGATCCCTGGTTCAACACCTATTGGTTCAGGCAAACCTCCCAACACATGATGTTTGACTGGCATTAGAAGGCTATAAAGGAATTATTTATGAGAAGAGAGAGGCAGGCAAAGTAAGGTGAAGAGGAAAGATATTTTAGGAACATCAACAGCAGCAGCAAAACCATAGACTGCAAAACCAAACCCACTTCTCCTGCAATGAAAACAAAATACCCTTGAGTTTTACTTTCTTTGTAGTAGAAATCAGGCTTGATTTCTAAGGTATAACCTTTAGTTTCAAAATGCTCCTTACATCGACTTTGTTTAGAAGTTACTATTACAAATGATGTGTTATATATGTAGAATAATTATGCGTTAAGTAGGTATTTATTCTATTGTGGTGCTCTTCTTAGCTTCCCAGGTGGTGCTAGTGGTAAAGGACCTGCCTGCAATACAGGAGACTTAAGAGACATGGGTTCGATCCCTTAGTTGGAACAATCCCCTGGAGGAGGGCATGGCAACCCACTCCAGTATTCTTGACTGGAGAATCCCATGGACAGAGGATCTTGGTGGGCTACAGTCCTTGGGGTCGCAAAGAGTCAGAGACGACTGAAAAGATTTAGAACACATTCACATGCAGGCAGAAGGAAAGAAGACACGAAACATGCCGGTGTCCTTTACTTTGACCAGTATACTCATGTGAAGTGGATGCTAGATTTACTTGTCATCTTTAAGTGTGATGGAGATAGGACAGGAAAATGGAATCTATAGAAATTATTAGTTTGGATAAGTAGAATGAAGACTTCAATGTCAGAGCTGCACAAGGTCATAGCGGGTTTCCGCAGAAAACCATAAGCACCAAGAGTAACCAAATATTGATGTAAAAATATTCATATTTGGTACAGATATGGTAGAGCATTAAATCTAAGTGTGACTGGAAAGCCTGAATATAACTTGCAGTGCTGAGTTACTAATTTCCATACACAGTGGATGGAATTCCCATACACTTTTCATGGATGAAATATTTTTTAATTATTGTCTCCTGTGACCATTCTGTTCTGATCTTAACAAACATATTTTGCTCTGAGCACTACAATAAAGTCTCACTTTTCAAGCATATGCTTCCTTTTTTCCTAAGCCCTATTTTAAATAATAGCTTTATCCACATACTATTGGAGAAGGGAATGGCATCCCATTCCAGCATTCTTGCCTGGAGAATTCCATGAACAGAAGAGCCTGGTGGGCTGCAGTCCATGGGGTTAAAAAGAGTCGGACATGACAGAGTGACTAGCACTTCATATACTATACAATTTCCCAATTTAAACTGAACAAGTCAATCATTTCCATATATTCAAGTTGTGCGGTAGGTGGTAAGTTTTAAGATGTTTTAAACTTATTCATTCATTTTTTTTTTCATTTAATTCATTACTTGGGGTAAGCTCCAATTACCTGGGAATTTCACTTCTATAGATTGAAGATTGTGAAGGTGTGGTGTTTCTGGATTTTTCCTCTGCTACTTCCTTTTGCATTGAGTGCATATTATTCTGATGGAATACTAATTCTTTTATTAAATAATAATGTTATACTCTATATTTTTAGTTATTTTATTTTTATCTGTTCCAGGTTTTACTATATACTGCTTAACATAGATTGAAATTTATGTTAACTTAATTCTAATAAAATATAGAAATCTTACTCCTATGTAGCCATGTGCTATTATATATATGAAAAGTGAAAATGAAGTTGCTCAGTCCTATCTGATTCTTTGCGACCCATGGACTATAGCCTGCCAGGCTCCTCCATCCATGGGATTTTCCAGGCAAGAATACTGGAATGGTTTCCATTTCCTTCTCCAGGGGCTATTCCTGACCGAGGGATTGAACCCAGGTCTCCCATATTACGGGTGGATTCTTTATCAGCTGAGCCACAAGGAAAGCCCATATATACATATACATATACATATATATTAGCATATTTTTTCCCTGGTGGTGGCTCAGTGGTAAAGAACCCACCTGTCATTGAAGAGATACAAGTTTGACCCCTGGGTCAGGAAGATGCCCTGGAGAAGGAAATGGCAACCCACTTCAGTATTCTTGCCTGGGAAATCTCATGGACAGAGGAACCTGGCAGGTTACCATCCATGGGGTCACAGGAGAGTCAGAAACAACTTAGTAAGTAAACAACAACAACAAACAATATGTTGATATGGCAAAAAATTTAGTAAAACATTTTTATAATTAGTGCTTTCATAACCTTATGTCTATTAAAGCTGGAAAATAAAGGGAAGCAAATATTTTGGGAAGAGCGAAAGTTGTCTAGTCCTAGAGACTCTTTTACCCTGAGAAATTCTCTAACTTCTACAGGTCCTGGATGGAAGCAGGATGGTCTTCTCATTTTGTTCTCATTTAGACTCTCCAGGAATGAACAAACAATATGAAGTGAGGGTGACTAGACTCCAAATTTTCAGCCTGCCTAGGAGAGGACTTCTCCCTGTGAGTGAGGTTGAGTGGAGGAAGCAAACGGCCAACCGCTCAACTAGGAATTTTGCTTCTGAGAACTCAGAAGTGGAGATTGGAAGCACTGGCATCCTGCCCCTCCCAGAAAGATGATATACCCCATGATTGAGAGCTGAGGACAGAGGAGTCATCTTTTCTCAACAATTCTGTCCAGAGTCCAGAGAGAATTCTCCATCCGGCTGAAATGACAGACGAGAGTGGAAGTGAGAGAGCAGGTCCTGGGTCAAGCGCCACAGCCTCTTGCTGTTCTCAAGTTTTAGTCGATCTTCTTGAATAAATGTTTCATCATTTGCTATATAGAATAGTTAAATATTTCTACCTCAAGGAAACATATCTAGGACTCTAAGAATGTCTTACTTAGGACAATACACTATTTCAGGTTTGCTGAGTGAGGACTTTCTCAGGACTAGCGCTGAGTGTCCTGAGACCCCAAAAACACCTTGGTCCCAGGAAAGAAATGGAAAAACTGATCACCTTACTTCTAGTTAACACTTATAGTATCTTACAATTTATAAAGCTGATTCAGACAGAATATGTGTACAATGAATCACTGTACACTCACAAGTCATTTTTTAAATATAATTTTTACAAATATGTAATTTATTTGTTTGTTTTGGGTGTGCTGGATCTC